GGAGGAGGAGGAGGAGGAGGAGGAGGAGAAGAAGAAGAAGAAGAAGAAGAAAAAGAAGAAGAAGAAGAAGAAGAAGAAGAAGAAGAAGGGAGGATGATGGGGGAGGAGGAGAGGGAGGAGGTGGGGCATGATTATCCTTGGCATGGGATTAAAAAATGTTTCTTCTAGCGGGGACGTTTTGAATCACCATTATATTGTAAAAGTTGTTGTTGTTGTTGTTGTTATTATCGTTATTGTAGTTGTGGAGGGGATTGTTGTTGTTAACGTTGTTGTTGTTGTTCGATTCCCCGATAGATATAGCGGAGGTCATTTCGAGATCAGTTCCAAGTAATGGTCCTTGTCAGGGCTGACTTTAAAATTCCAGACAGGAGACCAAAAATTATTATCTGACTTCACTCTACCAACCTCGAAATTCCGCGCAGAAAATTTATTTGAGCCCGTAACCTACTGCGCCATAGCAGTCCAGCTGTTTGACCAAACTAGAAATGACTTTAACCAGCTGAGACTCTTAGAACAAAAGAACCACCCAAAAAAAATCCCAACTGTGGTCACTGGACCATGCATACATACATATTATTTATTTCTGAGTGGAGAACTCGGCCGACCGTGACCACTACACTTGGAGGGCCTGAGGCGTCCCGGGGTGGCGTAAGAGTCCCGTATTATACCATTTGTAATTGTAAACCCCAGGGGGGAAACGGCAATAGTCCACGGACAAATATTGAGGATTGTTGTCTTTCTTTCTCACATGCATTTGTACTATTGCGGTTCCTTCCATAAACGATTAATTTAAAATATGTCACTAGTACGGACTAAAGCGATTTCTGATGATAAGGGTGTTGATGGAGAAATAGGGGTTGTTTTATTTATTTTGTACAAATGTTTCTTCCTGAGGCGCCGACGAGACCGGTTCCTTCTTGACTCATCCCTGCGGTGGAGGGCTCGTTCTGGTGTGGGGAGGCTTTTCAGCTCACCACAGGACCCCCCTCCCATGTACCATATACAGGGTAGTTTGACTGCGGCAAGGTACAGAGAAGAAATCCTGCCATCCCTTGCTGCTCCTCTCCTGCAGCAGGTTGGACCCCGAGCTATTCTGCAGGACGACAACGCCACGTCACATCGTTCACGCATCGTGGGGACTTCCTGTAGCATCGAGGTGTCACCCGCATGGACTGGTCAGTTTTTAGTCGGAATTTGAACTCAGTAGAGAACATTTGGGATCACATTGACTGGTAGATAAGGGACAACCATCCTCCTGCAAAAAACCTTCAACAACTCTTGGGCTGCCTCGTCCAGGAATGGCAGAACCTACCGCAACAAGTTCTCCGAAGGCATGTCCTGTCCATGCGTCGACGCTGTGCCGAGTGTTCGGTCAAACGAGGTGGCTACACCACTACTTTTGTTTTGTTTTTTGCTGTTACTTTTTTTTTCATTTGTTTGGGGGGGGGTTGGGGGGAAGGGGGGGGGGTGTGTTACCTGACGGTAAAAAGTCAATCTAAAAAGGGGAAATGGATTTGTAAGGAGGACGGTGGCTAGAATATAAGATGAGATAGACAAACGAGAGGTAATTATGTAGCCCTGATATGACTGCGAATGAGACGTGGTGAAATAGAAGGATACGAAACCTATTGTAGGATGGCGAGCTGTCGAATTACAGAGCTATATAAACAGTAGAGGGTTAATAATTTGTTGTGATTTGGCCTCGCGAAAAGCAGCAGAGGACTCAAGAGCCTTGCCAAGAACCTATGTTTTGGAGAGGGTTTTGACAGGGCGTAACCGTCGCATGTTTTACTATTTAATGAATATTGAGGAACGAAGATTGGGTTACAACAGACGAGTGCTTTTTTAGCCAAATGTGGGCAACCAAAATCCCATTAATAAATCATCTCTTTCAGGTACGGTATAGCACTCCCCAGATTTTAAAAATCACAGGGAAACACTCGCTATCGGGCACCAACTGTGCATTGGGTTACTAATTTGAAAAGTATTGACACGGGAAGAAAAAATGGGGGGGGCACTTTGACACTACGATGTTTTTATTTGTCTCGCGACTCCAAAAATAATCCGAACATACGCAATCCATCGCCATTCAATAACTTTTTTGGGTGGGACAAAAAGTATCTCTAATATAAAAACTTCCAGTACACGGACAAAACAGTTTATTCATATTCCACTTGCCCGGATTATACGAGGATTTAATAAATTTATGACGCAGGTGGCAATGAGCAGAATAGAAGGAATCGAGAGCTCTCGAGAACGCTTCTTCAGAGGGGTATGCGGTTATGTTTAATCAAAATTGCACTTTTCGGTGGCACAGGAGCCATGCTCAGTCTCGTTCAGGAAGGCACAATCAGCAGCCCAATGTTGAAACTCAGATTTAAAAAATAATGATAATGATAATAAAACATTTTAATTTTCCAAAAAGATTGAAGAACCAGCAGTCAACTATCATGTCGATCTATCAGGAGAATGCAAAGAAAAAAAATCTGGTCTATTGTTGATCACGGAATATTGCCACCTGAGAAGGGTCTGGGTTTTTTTTTGTTCTGTTTTGTTGTGTGGTTGTTTTTTTTTGTGTTGTTGTTTGTTTTTGTTTTTTTTGGGGGGGGTTATTGTGTGTGTGGAGTTGTTGGTTGTTGTTTTTTTTGGGGG